GGATAAAAGTAATTAGTAGCTTGTGCCAGGGCACAATCAGTCTAACTGCCTGTGCGCTCCAGGATGGCACACTTCTCCACATCCTGGAGGGCACATCTCAAGACTATCTGGCTGAGGGACAGCCAGGGGCCACCTTCATATCGCAGGAAATTTCGGGAGTAACTGATGGGAGAAGAAATCTCACAGGCCCTCAAGACTGCTTACACCACTGTGAGACTACAAGCAAACCCACAAGTCCCAAAGAATTCACACACCATGGCCCTGGCAGGAGTTCCTCAGTGATGAGAACGTCAGCCCGTGCATCAAGGGGTTTCAGGTTCGATTCCCAGTCAAGGGCATGTACCTGGGTTGCAGATTCAATCCCCAGCCCCGGTCCAGGTGTGTGCAGGAGGCAACCGATTGATGTGTTTCCCTCATATCAGTGTTTCTCTCTCTCCCTCTCCCTCCCTCCCTACTTTCCATTCTCTCAAAAATAATGGAAAAAAATATCCAAAGGTAAGGATTAACTAAAAATACAATAAACACTACCTGTATCACTATTCAAAGTGTGTGTATATATTTCAAAAGTAAAACGAAATTCCCACACCATTAATTTGATAATGATTTTTATCGATCCTACTGTTTGATTAAAACAAAGCCGCGCTCACTAGGGGCCGCACAGTTCTTTTCGGTGAGTGTGGGACCAAGGGTGGACCCAGAGGGGACTCCCTGTGAAATCCCCCTCCATTATCACTTGGCAGATGCATCACTGACATGTTATTCCCACCTCTCTATTTGCTCATTAACCAACAGACAAGCAAAATGGCATTTCCTGTCACTGGGAACTGTAAATACAAAAGCAAATATCGGCATGAAGTGAAGTGACTGCCTCAGCAGCTGGAGGGTCACCCTACACACTTCAGTGTTGATGAGTGAAATAATAGAATGCTTGGGACTTGTTACAAGATAGTCCAGGGGCAACATCAGAGTAAAACAAGATTAGCAAAACCTGCTAATCGCTGAAGCTAGGTGGCAGGAATGTGGTGCTTGCTACACTCTTCTGCCTGCTTTTGTGTATGCTCATAATTTTCCAGTGAAAAGGTTTTTTGTGTTTTTTAATGTGGGTTATCAGGTAAATGCAAAAATACCTGAATCAATTTTTTTATAATATGTATACTCCTTTGTCTGCTGAGAATCCAGGCTGGGTTTCAATGTTGTCTAGAGAGCACAGTGCCATATATTGAAACAGTGAGAAACCCCAAACCACCAGAATGTAATGTGGATGAAAGGTAATTTTCACATTCATAATCAAAACAGATTTCAAAACCAGAAAGCAAATGGCCAAAGTTACATACAGCAATTCAATTACGTAATTTTAATAAATCACCTGGATAATACCAACTCAACTTGTTTTTCATTAAACTACATGATGACTCTCATTTTGCTAAGTACTTTTTTTACTTTGTCCTTTGTATTGCTCTATCTCTTTTTCCATCATCAGCACAGTACCTGGCACATAAGAACTCAGTAAGTGGCAGCTATCAACTATACTGTTATTTAGAAATGATAGTGAGTAGCATATAATTTCTAAAACTCTTTCCAGCTCTTTGATTTCAATGGTTCACCAGTTCAAGAGGAAAGGGAACTCGTAAAAGGAAAGGGAACACTTTTCCGCATGTGCTCTCCCTTTGTCGCTGATGAACAACGTGCAGTTCTCCCATAAGGATCCCCAAACAGAAACCCAGCACCTTCCTCAGCAGGTTGGACCATCCGCTTCATCAGCCCCGACAGCGAGGATGGGTTACGAGCGGGCACAGCCGTCCTCCCTGGCTGGTGCCCCAAACCCTGTGCTGGGAGGATCTATACATTCACTCACCTTTACAGCTCATTACCCTGCCCTGACCATCCTTCATTGTTCTCTTATGTTCCTTAAAGTTACTGTCTCCTTGAGCTTATGTTATGGCCAAGTTCTGTTCTCATTACACGTTCTGATGTAGTCTCTTCGGAAATGCCCTCCCTCTGCATGTGCCTTTCTAGAATAAAGATTTCCTTTCTTCAGAGGGAAGCACCCCTCCAACCTCAACACACAGCAGCCCCTTGTTGCAGGCATGGCTTTATCCTGGGATGTAGTATTTCATTTTCCAAAAAGCAACCTGAACAATTAAATGGAGATATTAATGGGGGGGAGGGGGGTGGCGTGATTTCTTTCACTGGCTATCAGCTAGCGCTGTAAGTAAAACCTCAATGAGAGCAGAAACAAAGACACGGGCCAATTGATATTCATCGTTCCTCTCCGCAGGCCTGTCTGGAAAATGAAGCTTTGCCTATTCTTGGTGTTCTTCAGCATCCACATTAAAAACCTCCCTGACCACCACTGACGGCGTCCCGGATTGAATGGGGGCTCCCAAACCTGAGGTCCTGTCGTATTAGCTGGGAAGGATTCTTAATGCCCCACAAACTTCATGCTCCAAATCAGCAGGATGCTTGCAGGGAACCCCAGCTCGGCGGGAAGACAGCAGTGTCGCATCAGAAGCAGCCGCTCTTTCCCGCCTTCCAGGTCTCTGTGTCGTGGGATCAGAACCATCAACCCCAACTCTTCATTTCTACCTCCGGCACCGTCCTGACACCCCAGCCAGTGGGCATCCCAACCCCGTTGTCACCACACAAAGCACTTCACTCAAAACACGACCTCTCATCCCCGCACCAGAACGGTCACCAGGCGAAGGGAGGAGAAAGAACATACTTTTAAGTTTACACCACCTGTCTGCTGGGAACTCGGGCTGGGGCTGAGCTGTTCTCTAGAGAGCACGGTGCCACATCCTAGAACAGTGCCAACAGTGAGGAGCTCAAACCACCAGAACTCACCTGGGGATGCAGGCCAGGTAGGAAATGAGCCTCCGGAGGTCCTCCTGTCGTATTCTGTCATGATTGCTGCGGGCCGGGAACGTGAGGATGGGGCCTCCGCGCTTATCTCTGCCACCTGAAACGAACATGGGAGCACACTGAGACACAAACAGGAGCGGACGGATGCTAACGAGCCACTGGAGGCCCAATGGCATCACTATCCACTCCCACAGAGCTGTTCCTCTATCAACTGCAGGGCCAGAAAGGACGGACAAAAGGCCACAGTCGTTTCAGCGGGCACAGGGCCAGCCTAGCTCACCCGAGTTCTGCACACCACCTGGAAGATAGTCCAGAAGGCCTGCCCTTTCCTTCCAACGTGTCCACCTTTCCTCAGTTTCGTGTTTGGAGAAAGAAAGTTTTCCCATACGTGTGCTCATTCACCTTGAACAACCAACCACCGGTTCCCACCGCCCCCGTCCCTCTCATTCTCCTCCACATTGTCCTCTCTCCTCTCCCAGCCCTGCATGCTCAGCTCTCCCCCTGCTACCAAACAAACTGGGATTTGTCTTGAAAGGAAAAAAGACAGGGATGCTCTTCAGACTTCACACTGATGACTTCTATAATCTGGATCTAAGGTGTCTTCCTCTCTCAAGGGCAGTGCCCGACCCCCCTGGCCAAGTTTTACCAATCTCTCACACAAAGCCACTATATATACAAGTAAAAGGGGTGGGGGAGCTTTGCATGCAAGAATTGTAAAGCAGAACTAATTTAGTTAAGGACTTTAGAAAAATTACATCACATAAGTACAAATCTCAGATGATGACTGGTCTTTGATAGACAGGCAGCCATATTTCTCATTAACACAGACACAATTCCAATGAAGTCTGCTGGTACCTCTGACCATTTCTGGTGAAAGTGTCACATATATTTTACTACTTCCATCAGGGTTCTCAGGAAGGAAAACAGCCTTCCCAAGTGGAACCTCCGTTTAGTTTTTCAACTCTGGGCATCTCTCTTCGGAAGCACAGCACGAAGATCTCAAAATTCAAGTCACAATATGCAATTCTAAATTATTTTCTCATCTTAATTACTTACCTCAGCAGCACAGGTAAAATTAAAAAGCAAGCAAATAACAACAGAAAGCCAGATTCTTTGCTTTTAAAAAGGCCAAGGAAGTATCCAGCAGTTATTTTAAAAATACATGTTACCAATATGGGGATTTACAATTTCCTGGAATGATTAACACTGTTTCTGAACAGAAATAAAACTTAATTCTGAACATTTAAAACGATCCACGTGTAATCACATCATCTAGAAAAGTGTTAAATTACTTATAAGCCCAGTAATTCTGGTATCAAGTGGGAACAATACTAACCTATAGCTACCAATGCATGCCATGCATGGTGTCCAGAGGTTGACACACACGTTCTGACTTGATCACCACAAAACTGTTAAGGGTTTTGTGACTGCAGTATAATTGAAGATATTGACGCTCAACGAGCTTAAATAAAGACAAAAGGACTCTGCCAGCGGCACGTGCTAGCTGGGTCCTGCCCCCTGACAAGAACTTATATGATTTTTCAAACCAGTGGCTTCAGTTCTTTCTAAATTAGTAGAAACACCAGAAGGACAACTAAACAATGAGTTCCTAGGCCTTTGTAAATGAATAAAAAGTACTATTAACCCTGGCCAGTGTGGCTCCCTTGGTTGAGCATCGTCCCATGCACCAAAAGGTCACTTGTTCAATTCCCAGTTAGGCACATGCCTGGGTTTTGGGCTCCATCCCCAATAGGAGGCAGCCAATGGATGTTTCTCTCCCTACCTCTCAAATTCAATAAAAAACATTTTTTTTTAAAGTGAGAAGCAATGCTATTATAATGAATGGAATGTCATTACCAAGTAATTGTCTAAAATATCAGATAGTGTTATTAGGGAATATCAATGACTCTAGGTTTTGGAATACCTCTTGTCTCCAATATAACACAGAAAACAGTTTGCTATTTTAATTCCCCAACATCTTTCCTTCTTTTCAAAAAGGAATCCATAACCTTAACCAAAAGTATTCAGCTCAACACATATTATAAATACTTGAACTTTTAAAGATACAGTATGAAATTTAGATAAAAACATTCACCTGACTCTTGGTAAAGAGAATCATATATGTTTCTGGATTCCTATCCTAAATTTTTAAAATGAAATATAATGTTTGACTCAGTAGGGAGATGAAATGCCAATGACCCGTGTTCAGCTCTCCTTTCATCGTGTCTCTTAATGCAAGCAAGGCAGGCTCTACCAAGACAGAATCCAAAATCTGTCCATCAAAGTGTCACGTGGGGCATCAACAGGTGAGCACAGTGCACACAGCCACCTGTTCACTCCAGAAGTGAGAGCTCAATGAGTGAGTGTGACGTGGTGACGGCTTCCGTTGTACTGCTTCACCTTTCACCTACAGACATTTTCCCAGCTGGTACCACTGACGAGGAGTCCCCTGAGACGCACTGGAAAGCTCACCCTCCAAATCGGCTCCCACTCATGTCCTAAAAAAAGCTAATTTAAAACTAAACTTGAATTTCAAAGTAGAGGGAAAGAATTCAATTTGTCTTTTTCTAGAATAGAGCTTCAGAAAACTCTAGGGTCGTTTTAAAACTTCATCAAAAATCACTCATGAAATAAAAATGGCACATTCTCTATTTAAATAATTTAAGATTTTCTTTTCACTTGCTAACCTCCCTGCACTGGGTGCACCTTCCAAACTGTGGTGTGTTACAGTCAGTGATGGACAGGCGCCATCTGCTGACCCCTCCCATGGGGTTATAAAATCAACCTATTAGAATCAATGAAATGCAGTGTTAGTTCAGAGGCCATGGTCTCTGAGCCTAAAGGAGCTTGGAAGCAATGCCACAGATGTCTGTTAGATTGTACGCCCCATTTGTATGCCCCAGAACATATGAAAATACTGCCTGGGTTAGGAAGCAAAAAAGTTACAGCTTTGAAGTTCTTGTTCCTGAACTAATCTATAGAGTAATCCCGCAGCTTATAAAAGCATCGCCTACTAGATAGGCTAACATGCTGTCTGCTGTCAACCACAGCCTCATGGTGAGGCCGGCAGGACAGATGTCAATCCCATTTTATAGACAGGAAACTCAGCACCTTAGCTGGGACAATAAAAAGAAAAGGGCAGGAAATCCATTTCCTGCACCTACCAACGTCACAGGATGTCCATGGAGGAGAGTTCGCAGTGTCTGGGCCTCCCCTGTGTCTGTAATCAAACACCCAGAGCTCAAGGGGGATTATCTGCCTCTCCAAATGCATGTTCGTCAAAAACAAGAGAAAACAAAAAGGACAGTTTTTGTTCATAATGACACTCCTTTTCAATTCAATAAAAACCGCTTCCTCTCTACCTTCCTCTCCCCACCCTTTATTTCTGTAAGGCACCTATGACCTAGTCAACTGTATAACTTACACATTTCTGTCTGTCGGTGCCCCCAACATGAGTGGAAGCCCTACGGAGGCGGGCATCTGGTCACTCACTGATGCCAGTATATACATACTCTCAGTGCCTAGTGAGAGATGGGCACATAAAAAAGGGGACTCAATAAATGTCTGCTGTGTGAATGGATTCTTCTTCTACATTCCACACAAAGTTAAATAAAAATACCTACCATCAGGTATCAGGAAGTTAAAAATGGGAATGCCTGAACATTCCTGTAGGGAACACGATGCTAACTAAATGAACTGGGGTCTGTTTTAATATTAAAAAGAAGGCTGAGAAGATTCCACATTTTAGCTACAAACGTCTGCGTGACAATTATTTCCTTAAACCCAGTGATGGCTCATTTCCTTCTTGGTCTCTTGAGCAGGATGGCCCAGAATGACCAGAAACAGCAAGACTCAGAATTGCCTTTTTTAAATTGGAAGATAAGTTTTTATTGATTTTAGAGAGAGAGGAAGGGAGAGAGGGAGAGAGAGAAATATCAATGTGAGAAACATCAATTGATTGCCTCCCAAAGCTGCCCCGACCACATATCAAACCCACAACCTAGGAATGTCGTGCCCCCCCGCCCCCCGCTGAGAATCAAACCTGCAACCTTTTGGTGTTCAGGACGATGCTTTAACCAACTGACCAACCCAGGGCAGAGTTGCCTCTTCTCTTGGAAGGCATACTTAGTGTGAGAAGTAGAATGTAAATGCCAATGAACTAACTGCATTCTCCACTGTGTGGCCCTTTTTGAATTTCTGGATTAGGACACCACTGGAAACTATTCTTTACACAAAACTATTCTACACACACACACACACACACACACACACACACACACGCCACCCTGAGGAACAGTCTAGCTCATGACCGTGAAAAGCTCTGAGAAGATGTGGTTTGTAAAAGAGAAATTATGGCCCTGGCCCCAGCCCATTTGGCTCAGCAGATAGAGCATCAGCCTGTGGACTGAAGAGTCCCAGGTTCAATACCAGTCAAGGGCACACGCATAGGGTGTGGGCTCGATCCCTGGTTGGGGGCGTGCAGGAGGCAGCCAATCAATGATTTTCTCTCATCATTGATGTCTCTCTCTCTCTCTCTCCTTCTCCCTTTCTCTCTGAAATCAATAAAAATATTTTTTTCTTTTAAAAAAGAAATTATGGTTACAATCTGTAAAGTCTATTAGGTAACAACCTCTGTTAAAAGGGTGTCTACTGGGCCCCTGTCCCAGGAGCAGCCAAGGCCAACAGCTCACCAGCCCCGGACCTTCTCAGGTTCGGCTCCTCCTGCCTACTCCTGAGAGTCAGACACTGGCTTACAGACTCTTTCTAATGACCACTCTAGGACTCTAGAGTCCTGGGAAGGCCTCTGGTGGCAGCTGGCCCTCCAGTCAGTCACTGGACTCAGGCTATACTAGATGCTAACAAGAACATACGAGAAGGATGGGAGATACATCCCCTTGCCTTTCCATGAAATGCAGAACTCCGCAAAACTGGAACAGGTACTCTCATATCACAGATCCAAACTTTAAGATAAAAACTGATGAGTATTTGGGGTCAGGTTTCTTTAAGCCAGTGGTTCTCAACCTGTGGGTCGCAACCCCTTTGGGAGTCGAGCGACCCTTTCACAGGGGTCGCCTAAGCCCATCGGAAAACACATATATTTACATATTGTTTTTGTGATTAATCACTATGCTTTAATTATGTTCAATTTGTAACGATGAAAATACATCCTGCATATCAGATATTTACATTACGATTCATAACAGCAGCAAAATTACAGTTATGAAGTAGCAACGAAAATAATTTTATGGTTGGGGGTCACCACAACATGAGGAACTGTATTAAAGGGTCGCGGCATTAGGAAGGTTGAGAACCACTGCTTTAAGCCCTTCTTACAGATGCCTCTTATATTTATGAGTGGAGTCTTTTCATTCTGTTAACTTTAAATCCATCTGTAAACTACAAAGTCAGGAGTTCACAATACTGGCCTGCGTCCATACCAGGCAGTTTGTCAGTAACTGATTAGAAAACAGCAAAGGCTACTTTTAACAGTGGATTAGGAGCCAAGAGTTGTTTGATTTTTCATTCTTTAACCATGTGTTCCCATCGATCTAAAGCACCTTGTTTTCCTGAACTTTGTATAATCTTCTGTTTACCTTCCAAATACATTATGCATTAGATTCACTTCAACAACACCATCAAACAGTGTCTGATGGGGAATAAGAAATACTGTTCGACAGAGAGCAAGGTAAGAAGAGTAACAAAAATACCACAGGAGGCTGCATCCTAAATATATACCATTCCCATGGGTCGAAAAGACACCCACACCATGTAAAAGCAGCTAGCAAGGTTATAAATTCAAACTAAAATGTGTTCACGAGGAGATAGCAGGTCAGCATGGCATGCCTGCTTGAGATGAACAGTTATTGAGGGAACCATATCTAGGAAGACTGTCTAAATGCATGTAACCATCTACAGATTCACCTCCTCGTAAACAGAGCAGAAAAATCTTGCAAACCTTTGTTTTGTAACAAGTAAACTGGTGCCAAAAAAGGTGGAATACCCAATGGCTGAAAAAGCCCTATAGCTGGTCCTCTATGTGCAGAGGGGAGGGCAGTCAAGTACCCCAAAGCCAGGAGGACTGTTGCAGACTGTCACCCACTAGAGGGGGGTCAGGAGCCCCACAGATGGCTTTACAGTTCTACAGGCAAATGGAGGACCCGGCTGGTAAAGACCACCGGAGCTTTCACGGCCCACGACAAGGGTTCTAGAAACACCAGAACCAGGGGCCCAGGGAAGAGCAGCCATGGATACAAGGGCATCCTCACCTCCCCAAAGAGGAGGCAACAGGTAGCCACAAAATACAAGAAACCAAGGTAAAAAAAATCAGGACACATCCAGATATGATCACATTCCCACCACTTTTGCGGATGACAAACTTTTAAAGTAATCAGTTGCTTTACCTAATTAATTTGATCAGGGCAAAAGAGCCAAATGTTTGTGGAATGACAGGCACAGACATTTCAATCACCAGTGTTATCTGAGTTATGATGTGCCTGCCAGAAGGAAGAAGATGTATGGGCACTAATATCTCAGGAAAATGCTACAAGAATAAAACACCTAAAAATCTACTGAAATACAAATGCTCCTGGGCGTGTGGCAAGTGAGCTAGTTCAGTGTTTGAAGCTTTGTCTGACACTGTGTCCGAAGTAGTCAGAGAATCAATAAAGCAGATGATAAGGTTAAACTTTACCTGAAAGGTATGCAACTTTTTCCTTTAAAATTGGCAGAACATCCATAGCTTTCATTTCATCGTTTTTTCGAAACCCTGAAATAAAGAAGAAAATAAAATCACTAGGTTGCTTGAGTGACATTTAATTTTTTAAATCATTCTATCCAATGCCAGCTTTCTTTACACCATTAAATCAACTCTAGAAGTATCATCATTCAAAAACACTTGAATTCTGTGAAGGAAAGTCTCTGATCACAGAATTAGCTTCTATTTTAATGCCAAGCAATGATTTGCCCACAGACGCAGAGGCAAATGTACCAAGCAGGCTCTCAACCATTATTAACCATGAAAATCTGCTCCCCAAAATCAGTCCACATCATTTCAAAAATCTTCATTTTAATCTTGTAGATTCATGTAAATACTGGCAAATAACATGGCTACACTGTTTTCTAAAAACGGCTGTTTTGGCACACTAAATCCTCTAGGGGGAGCCCAATGCCTCATCTATCAGACTGGAGTCACAAACAGTGGCAGGGAGGAGAGAAGGGATTATAAATAGCTGGGGACTGGCTGCAGCTCCCAGTGGGCTCTGCCCTCCCTGGCTTTCTGGGTCATGCTCCCCTGGAGGAATGTCACTGGCTCATGGGGTAAGATGGCCCAGTGCCACCTGCTTCAGAGGGTGGCCAAGGCCCTTTTCTCACTGCAAACCAACTCTCCTCACACCCCCGTCTCTTAGACGGCCAAGTGGAATCTTGTGTAGAAGAAGCATGCGGCAGGCAAGTTGGGCCAAGCCAGCATCCATCTGCGCAGAAGGAATTCTTGCAGCCCAAACATGTCCAGTCCAGCTCCCCAGGGTGAATGCCCACATGGAAGTTTGAGGTCAAAATGCTCATACTCATAATAACGCCTCGGGCTGTTTCTCTTGGAGGTCTCTAACAGAGGCCATCTAGGTTCATCAAAACTAGCAACTACGGTTATTGGCAGAGAACTCTCTAGAAAAAAAATAAAAGACTGCTGCCCCATCCCTATTTTCCTGTATGTTTTTGCCAAAATAGTATAAGAAAAGCATTCAAAATGTAAGCTTTGGTAACACAACCAGTGCCAACATGGAAACCTGGAATTAGAAAGTAAACAAACAGAGCTTCCACTTCAGGTCTGTTTGAGGGGCTCCGATTGGACCAGGCCTGCCACCAATTAAATCTACAAAACGCAACTATTTCAAGGCACTGGAGAGTGGCCAAAGCAGGGAGAGACTCTTGGGAAAAGGAAATGACACTGGGTGCACCTCCCTATTAGGGCTTTTAGCCAGAGGACAGGGCCCCATCTAAGCCAAATGGAGCGGCTAAAACAAGAATTAGGACCCGCTCAGGGTGACCTCAGCAGCTGAAAGTGAGAGAAGTTGTGGGAAGGAGAAAGGGGAGCCTCAAATTCAGAGCATAAACTTGGCCCAGATCTCTGGCTGTCCTCCGAGCATGTGCTGGGCAAGCTCCAAGCAGCCTAAGCTCTATGCTAAAGAGGAAAGATCTCACCAAGGTTCGAGTTGTTGCCCCTACAGAGTTTGTAGCTTGGGTCCCGCCAAGTTAGTAGCCTGCTAAAGCAAGCAAGCAAACAAAAGCAGCACTTTTGGGAGGAATATAACCAAATCCAGTCCCTACAATATCATTCATAGGAGCAAAGAATGACTAAATTAATGGTGTGGTTTGTTTTTTTTTAAAAGTAAATCTTTCCTGCCCATAAAATGTATATACTGACAACGCAGGTTAACAGGATTAACAATGACACTGAGAATCACCAGAGACTTTGCACAAAGACGGCCACAACAAGTGGTGATGAGGACCCTGGGGTCCAGGAGGCTTGGTGTACCTACTGCCTAGCTGGTCAGGAAAAGGCTCGGTACAACCTGGACCTCCGGATCACCAGGCCGTTTTGCTTTCCAACATACCACGCTTGGTGCTGGCAACCTACCAAGCTTGTAAAACAGTGACTATTTATAAAACGCAAAACAAGAGCCAAGAATTCTGCAATTTCATCCTTAAGATTCCTTCAAAACTCTTGAATGGATGCAATCTAGTCTCAGCAATTCGTTGCCAGTCATTGGGTAATTCACTGAATGTGTCTGCAAATTGATTACATCCGATTCCATTTGAGATGGAACCAGGTGGAAGTAGGGCAAATGCAAGGAGAAATGAGGCACCACCTCAGGCCTCAAGGAGCCAGGTTTATATATACTCATAGAACAAGGCACAGGATGATAAGTTCCATAAGCAGCACAAAATGCTAGGATGCCCGGAGAAATGTGGAAGCAGACCAAATCATAGAAATACTAGAAAGAATTAAGCCTCAGCTATAGATCCCAATCTACAGGGATTTGAAAAGGATCCCCCTTCTAGTGCTACCAGATAAGACAAGGCATGCTTCCGACCACTCCCACAGAGCCCATGCCCACAGATGCCCTGGCCAGGACACAGCAAAGCCCGCTGGGAGGTGCCACCACAAACTGCAGTCCTGGACTCCCACAGTCCAGAAACGGGAGGCCCACGTGTGGCTCTGGCTCCCTCTCACACAACCCTCCAGAAGGAGAATGTCCTAATCCCAGTGCTGGTGCCTCAGAAGAGGACTGTGGGACTTCTAATACTAGCAAAGCATCCCTGACAAT